ATATAATTTGGAAGGACTGTTAAAAGAAATACAATATATTATAAAGAAATCAGGTAAGAATACTTTTCTTAGATTTTATTAAGCAATTTATCAGAAATGCATACATAGAAATGCTTTCTGATTATGACACAACTTACCTTTCTTGCCTAGAATACTGGGTATCTCCTAGCTACTTACAGCACTCACAAATGCCATGTTGCATTTGCATGAATATAGTTAACAGTATTTATAACTTGTTGCAAAGTGTCACTTAAAATACCAATAATAGTAGCTTTGCACAGAGATTCTGCTGATGCAAAATACAATGAAAAGAAATGAGAACGTTTGTATCTGTTAATACTGTTTTTTTATGTACACAATACATCCTTCATGTTTTCCTGTCATGGAAGGTGCACCATCTGTATGTACACCCACTAAATTTACCAAATTCAGTCCAACTTCAAGACATTTATCTTGAAAGTTGTTGAAGATATGTATTTCCTGTGTTCTCTTTGTAAGAGTGCCAAAGTGAGTAACTCTTGTTGCAAAGATAATCTGTTCTGACCCAAATGAAGTATAAAATCTGAACTGAGTTGGTAGTTATCAATTGATTATTCAAAGTGATTGAATAATATATATTTTTCCTTTGAAATAGTATATTAAATTGTTCTGTTACGTTAATAGCTAATTCATGCTGCTAATCAGCTATGGTTCTCCTTGAAAGAAGCAATTGTTTGTAGTTGAAACATTATTGGAGTCTAAGCATTCTACAACTTCGACATGCATTCTTTCACAATTTCTGTCACTGAATGGTTTCTCGTTTTCCCTGAACATATAAGCTACTTTGTAAGTAGCTTCAATGGGATTGTTTCCAGGTCTTAGTGCTACTTGAAAGAATTGGTTTTGCTTTTGCTTTTCATCTTTTGATTTCTACAATCTTTTGTGCCTTTCCTTTAATTTAAAATATTTGTGGTCCTTATCAGTGTTAGCTGAGGAGCATTGAATTTCTTTAATGTTGATATTGCAGTATCACAAAGCATGCAAATCATCTTATCTTTAGCAGAAATAAATTAACATAGCCATTTCCAATCCACATTTAAAAATCTGTTTTCTTCCTTCAGTGTTTTCTTGGTCTTCTTTTACGTGATGGGCTGTTAAGCAGACAGAATTAAAAAATACCATCAACCAGTGCAACTGTTGACAAATTCCATTTCAAGCAGAAACACAGTGCACCATTGTCAAAAGCTGGTAACAGACTGGCATACTCAACTCCCATAAACTCTCACCAGCCAGCCTTATGTGGTAGTGGTACCAGTCAGGCAGGAGAAGTTAGAACTAAATCATGAAAGTAGCAGCCATCAATTTAGCCTGATGGCTTACTGATGTTCTCATATGCTGGTAAATCTGGGAAGATTATTTTGTTGAAACATATTTTATTCTTTGGCATTTTAAATACATTAATTTTTAAAATAAAATAAAAATATAAAAGATGAACAAAACATATTAATAAAAATAGATAGATTTGTTTTGTATTGGATTTAGTCAAAGAGCTGAGCTTTAGGACCTAGAAGGCCACATGTAGCCTTAAGGCCACAGGTTCTGCGCCCCTGGGTTAATGATTTACCATAAAATGAATCTATCAAAATACTAAGTGAAAGTTTTCTGTTTTAGTCAAGGTAGTCTGGATTATGTTGTGGGAACAGATAAATCCAAAATCTCAGTGGTTTAAAACAGGAAAGGTTAATTTCTTATTCTTGATTATGTCTGTCTTCCCAAACCTAGGTTTCTGTAGGCGGGACCTTGAAGCTTCTATTTGGAAACTCAAGTGACACATATTAACTTCATTGAGTAAAGAGCAAGTCACATGGCCACATGTAACACCAAGGTGGCCAGAAAAGACAAGCTAGAATAATCCCAGAGGTGAAGAACCAGAACTATGTGATGAACAGCACTAACGATGTTCATAGTTTAGGTAAATACAGAAAGGGTATAATTGTGAGGAGGGACGTTCTGAGCATGACAGTGTTAGTAGATTTGAGCATGTAAAAGTTAAAAATATCTGTGTCAAAAATAATAAACAAATAATGTGAATAAAACCATTTATAATATAGTTAGACCAAAGATTAGAATTCTTTTATTTATTTATTTATTTACATATACATGTGTTTATTAGGTTTCCACTTTTTGCCTTCACAAAATTAAAAAAGCTTAAAATTTAATAACAATAGCAATGTTTAAGATAAGGACTAGAAACAAAAACCTCATAAAGAACGAACAAAAATAAATACATTCAGAAAAGAAATCAGACGATTGCTGCACTGAAATATTAAGCAGTAAGAATAGTGCAAAGAAAGTAACATTCACATTGTCGAATAAGAGTATATCTATTATATAGAAAAGTATAAAGTATAAAGTACAAAGTATAAAGAATGCTTTGACCCTCAGGTTCAGTATGGAGTCATCAGTTAACTTCTTATTTTTTTTCCAAAGTCTCAAAAAATAGACAACTAATATTTATAATCAAAAGTAAAAGATAATTTCAAAAAACAGATCATGCCAAATCTTATGGACAATAGAAAAAGAGGAAATACTTCAAAATCATTCTACTTCATCTAGATGCACCTGATATTAAAATTGGAGAAAATATATTATTATAAAGGGGAAATTACAAACATATTTCACTTATATAAATGAGGATGCAATATCCTAAACAACATATTAACGAATTAAAAATTAATGTTTAAGTATGTACTTTGGTCAACATTAAATCCAATTTATGTGAGAATTAGTCACTATTTTATTTCCTTTCCTTTTCTTTTTTTTTTTTTTCTTCTTTTCCTTTCCCTCACCCCCTCCCTCCTTCTCTGTCGGGTCTCCCCTTCCCCCATGCCCCACCATGTCATTAATTGTCATTAATTGTCCTCATAAGAATTCTTAATATAGAAACCAATCAATAATTTAAAAAACATGCATTTTAAATTGGACTAAAGGGATGAACAGGAAAATAACCAAAAGAAAGGCAAATGGAAACATGTTCAGCCTCACTAGTAACTAAAGCATTGCAATTTAAATTAAAGCGAGAAGCCATTCTCTATAAGATGATGATAACCACTTTGATAAGAATAAGAGAAAATACATGCTTTCTTAGTACTGGGTATGTTAAAAAAGGAAAAGAAAAATCCTGCCTTTTTGCAAGGCAATTTGGCAATAGTTACTAAAAGTTTTAAATTTAAAAGGCCCAAAGCATTTGACCAGAGAGGTAGTACACTTTTAGAAATTCAGATATCTGTAAAGATTTACCCTTGTTTGTTGTCAGGGAAAAGGGGGAAAAATTAAATGTTCAACAGTAAGATGGGTAAAATAAATTACTGTTCATTCATACAGTAGAATATTCTGCAACATGTGTAGGAAATATTTATTTTACAATATTGAGAGAAAATAAGAAGTTATAAAATTGTATATATAATCTTATTTTGTTTGAAAACTTTATGTATGTGATTATATGAGACCAGTCTGAAAAGGTATGCATCAAAATAACACTAGTTGGATTATGGATGCTCTCCCTCTTTTTTGATAATCTGTATTCTAATATTTTCATAAACATGAATTGCTTATTTAATCACTTAAGATTTAGAGGGTGCCAGAAAATGTGTACACATTTTAAGAAAGGAAAAATTTGTATTAAAATTACAGTACTCAAAAAAAATCATTAAAAGGTTAGTTAACTTTAGTTAAATTAAAAAAACTAAAATTACAATGCTCAATGTATACTGGTAACAGAAGACAAATGCAAATCATATTGAGCACCTCTTGTAATTGCAGAAGCCAAACATTACTCGAGTATTACAAATTTAATACAGTTTTTCTCTTTCTTAAAATGTCTATGTGTTTTGGGGTTTTTTTTGACACTTCCTGTATAATAAAAACATCAGTGCGACAGTTGGGTCACATTCCACATTGAACCTGACTGGTTCCCAGACTCTTATCTATTCTTTTCCTAAAGCTGGGCCCCCTTTCTTGTATCTTGGACACAAAAAGGATTCCACTCCTTGTTCACTCTTGCTGCTTAGCCCAGCCCTGACTCAGCCCCTGTGCTCCCTCTTCAATCATCCTGAATTCTTTTTGTGGTAACGTCTTTAGAATCCCAGGTCTTCTGCGTGTAATACCAGGACCCAGATTTCCTGTCACTGACTGCCTTCCTGGGGATTGAACCCCTGCCTCCAAATTTATCCTTGACTCTGACTTTCTGTCCTACCTCTTTTCATCTGCACAAGGAGCTGCCACACTGCACTGCTCGTCAGTATCGGGCGACCACTTGATCTACTGCGGCTGCCAACTCCTTCTGAACACCAGGAGTTGCCTTCTCTCCTTCCTGACGTGCCCAACTGCCTGCTGCCACCCAGCAATGAGTCTAGTTCATTTCCTGCACTTTTCTCATTGCTCTGTGTCACTGTAGTTGACCAGGGTCTGCTCTATACATTTCTGATCTACTGAATTTCTCCTGGGTGTTTCTTTTCTCATACAGAAAACACAAGAAGGGAACCAACTGGTGGTTAGCAACTTGCATTTTCTGCTATTGATTAAAGTTTAGGTGGCAAAGAGAACTCTGAGGAAGAATTTTGGCCATTGGTACATGGCATGCCACCGTAACACCATAGGGACATAAATCACTGCAAAAGTTTTGAGACAGTTTGTGTTATGAACCATTATTTCAGTTCCAAGAAACAGTTGACAGCATCCTTTCTGATTCACCTGTGCAAGTTTCAGCTTGCTGGACTTATTGGTGTTACTGGGAGGGCTTCATTTGTTTCCATCCGCACTTGGATGTTACATTTCTTAATTTTTGTGCATCTCAAAACTTTCATAATGACCCATACACCAATAGAGGGCACTCTTCCATTGCAAGGCACTGTGCGGAACGCGGAGCAATTACCCAGCAGTGGTTCCCGATAGGCAGTAGTAACGAATTATCTGGTTTTATAGCAGCGCTTAATTGCTTCTTTTTCTAATGTTATCCCCAGGTATTACTTTGTTTTTCCCGGGACACATCTGTGCTGGACCACTTTGCATACAACAGTGCTTCACCACCGAAGTCATACATAAGAGGTAAAATTGTAGTAATTTTAAGGAAGTATTCTTTAAGACTTACATAAACATGCCAAGAATGTTTGGTTCTAACATATATCGATGTTTCTACCTTTTGTGTAAATCACTGGATTTCCTCCCAGATGACTGTCCCCGTCCTTTTGCTCTCTCTTAAATCAGTGCCCGAGCAACTCATCTCAAGTCACGGGAAAGTGGTTCTCAGAAGCAGCGTTTCAAGTTACCTTT